ACAATCACACAATATTGTTCAAAAAATACTGATTCTATTTGATTTGATTGTTAAGAACAACTAATAATTAATAGAACAATTAATATTTGTTACTTAAAAAATTAAAATCAGTTTATAAACTGATAATTTCAGACATCATCACCAATTGTTTAAAAAAAATATGACAAATGTCAATCAAACTGAATTAAGTCTTGTGTGGCCATAACCATGCCCTTCAGAAGCTGCTGTGACGTTTTTCCATAAAATTTCAGCTTTCATTTTTTTGTCTGTGTGTTGAATGTTAAACTTACTCTATTATTGAAGAGAAGGTATTCTGGATAGTTTGTTACTTTTTACGTGCTCCATCTTATTATGGAGCTTGATCTAGATTATAGGATGTCATCATGTCAAGCCCTAGTGTTTAGTCTGAATCTATCTATAAGGTTATGGTTTCTTCCTATTACCGTATGTGTATAACTCAAATTTCTTATCAAATTGGTCCTTTTTTTTTCTTATGATGTAGTGCCTATGGTGAACCTATTCCTGTGAAGGAACTTGCTGAACGTGTAGCAAGTTATGTGCACTTATGCACACTCTACTGGTGGCTCAGGTGTGTTATTACTTAAATGTTCTCTTGATATTTTACATCTCTCTTTATTTAGTTTAGATGTAAAATTTTAAAAATACTTACTGCTGCAGGCCTTTTGGATGTGGGGTAATTCTTGGAGGTTATGATAGAGAGGGACCTCAATTATATATGGTCGAACCATCTGGCATCTCATATGTAAGTTTATTTGTCCCAATTATTGATTTACTTTTCATTTGTGGAATGACTCTTTGGGTATTGTTTATATTCATCCCTTTTACATGATGTTAGATTGATGTGGTTGAATTTCTGTTCTTTAATTTTTGTTTTTTATTTGGACTTCTTCTGGCTCACAATATTGCTTGATAATTTGATGTAGAGGTACTTTGGTGCTGCAATTGGGAAGGGAAAGCAAGCAGCGAAAACGTAAGTTGGTTGTTGTTTCTTTCTTTCATATGGGAACATTTGATAAATTGATCATTGCAGTCCTTCAAAATCCATTTTTGGAGGATCATTGAAATATTAATTGTGGTTGCCTTCTCAACATAATTTGATGCTCAGTTCATCCACTTAAAAAGATGTCCTTTGACTCCTTTCCCTGTGTGGAACCCCCAACTTAGTCAATTTAGACCCTTCCAACACATCTATCATTTCCTCAAGCAAGTGAATTTTTGCATGGTTTCTTTGTAAAGAAAAAGATTAATGATAGAAATTTGAATTTTGTTTAAGAAAAGAAGAGGGTAAGAAATAGTAGGGAGCTAGATGCAGTGAAGTAGATGACAATCATGTCCATTTGCAGATTCAGTTCCTCTCATTTGTTCATTCGTAACTGAGGTTAAATAACTAATTTATTATGGTCAAATGGACATTTGTGAACAGAGAAATTGAAAAGTTGAAGCTCTCTGAAATGACATGCAGAGAGGGAGTTATTGAAGTTGCCAAAATGTGAGTATGCTTTATCTTCTTTCTTTTTCTTTTCTCTCTTTTCTTGTTTTCCCTGTAATATGCTTGCATTTAGAGGGATTTCCTCTATTCAAGAGTTTGTCTTTCAAGGTAGTTTTAGATTCATTTTGTGCGTTATTCTTGGGCAGCATCTACAAGGTACATGATGAGGCGAAGGACAAGGCCTTTGAATTGGAAATGAGTTGGGTCTGTGATGAGTCCAAGAAACAACATGAAAAGGTAATATCTGATACTCTCTTGGAAAAGCATTTTCGTAACGTTTCCAACTAATCTAGAACAGTAGAGGTCCTAGTCCTACAGGAGAAAAGAGCTTTGGTTAATTTGGGTGAAGCACGTTACTCTGTCTCCCCCCTTCTGGATCCAGAGAATATTAGTCTTTTACTAATGCCTCTGTGTAGTAACTTCATTTTCCTCCTTGGTGCTCACATCTTTCATGTAAAGATATTTGAACGTTGAACCTGTTTTCCCCCCATTTCTCTCTCTTAACCCACATTATGTGTTAGTTTAGATTGAAATATTGCTGTAATTTTCATTCCACTATATCTTTCCCTTTGGCAATCTTTCAGGTTCCTGACGCACTGTTAGAGGAAGCAAAGGCTGCTGCTAGAGCTTCGCTGGAAGAAATGGATGCTGATTAAGTTTTACTGAGAGCTTGTAATCCTTATGTTTTGATCTCCTAATCTTCACATATTTCCCGTTGTCAAGAAACTGATGCTGATGGTTTTATGTATGAATGAATTCATTGCTCAAACTCGTTTCTGCATATTATATTTATCTCTTTGTTTTAGGAATGTACCAGGAATTTTGACTCAGATCCAATATCAAGAGTCATCAGCAAAACAAACATAGATATTGTTCCTACTTTTGACATATGCCCTTTTATTAAGTACTCCATAAACCGATCCAATAGTGTTGCTTAAAAATTGAAAATTCCAATACACGAGCAAATTATTTGACACAATATTTTTCAGTATGCATCATCATATACAAATATAAAATAGTTGTACTTGATTATAAGATAGATTAAAAACGGTAACGGTACATTTATTTCAGCCAGCACACAAACATCATGTTCTGATGTGTTCTATACATCTTCAACCCTTGACCTGATGAAGCATAGTCAACATCTCACCTTCAGTCACTTGAATTTGGAAAAAGGTAGATAATTATGTTTCATGTCAAACTAGACCATTAATTAAGCCTATAAAATAATCAAATTGAGATGCATAAATAATTAACCCTTTTGAGAGATTTTGTTAGAATGAAATTACTCCATGAATAGCAAATTTTGGACATAAATAATCCATGAATAGCAAGTTTTGGACATCAATAAATAGAGTCAATGGACACAACACAGAGGTAGTATCTTTTTGACACAGATGGAGGGCGGTTTAACAAGCACCTATCTAAACCTGATTTAATGGTTGAAAGTTTAAAATTTCAATTTGAAGATTTCAAATTTGAATTTTGAGTTGGGTGGAGAAAAATTTTTAAAAATATGAAAGTTATTTCTATTGTATAATCCATCATTATTGTTATCAGATGTACCAAAAAGCAAGCACCTACCTAGCTAAGTGCTGGAAGCTGCAGGAGCATCACCGACAAGCTTGAACTCCTGGACCTCCTTGAAATTCAACCAAAGCTTCTCCCAGACTTTAGCTTCGTAGAGTTTCTTCTTATCACGATCCATTGCCTCCAAGGTTATATAATACATCATTGCAGAAACCACCTGCTCCTTTGCATTCACCACTTTCTTAAATTCCAGCACCGAATTCTGTAGAATCATAAAAAATAAAAGAACAACATTCAAATGTTTTTTTGCAGTTTATAATCAATAAAATTTGCTTTTCACAGTTTTTGTTTACACCAAAAAATAAACTAATAAGATGAGATTATGTGTCAAGTTTAGGCCTAATCAACAAGCAGAGTCGATAGGTTGGACTGAGTTGGGCTAGCTTAAAGTTTTATGGTCCAGACGGAATTTATGGTGAGCTGGACTTTGTGGCAAATGATAAAGTGGTTTTTAGTGGTTGAATTTGGTTTAAATTAGGAAGTTGAGAATTTTTAGGAGAAGGTTACCATTAGGGTTTTATTATAATTAAAATTGGATTAAAATTATTAGTTGTGGATGTGGAGCATCCACTACCCATTTATGGTAGAAGAGGGCCGAAAATCATGGAGGAGGGTTCCCAGTAAGGGCGTTCGCAGTGTGGTTTGGTTTTGATTTTACTATTTTTTAAACCAATCCAATTTACGGTTAATAAAATTTTTAAACTAATCCAATCCACTAATATATGATAATCAAACCAATCTAACTTAAATCGGATTGGTGTGGTTCGATCAGATTGATCGGTTTTTAACATTGTTAACTATATAAGATAATGTAAAAATATTTTAACGTCAAATAGAAAACATAACTATAAAACACATTAACATCCAAATCAATAAAAACATAATAAAAGGTACAAATTATAAACGAGTTCTTATACTCCTTTACATTTATAAAAATTGAAAAGCTCCAAAAGTTCTTCTTGGTTACATCACTAGAGGCACTAAGAATAATAAAAAATAGGGAAATGATTGGTACATCTAATATTTCAACATTCGGTTCAACATCCTTCGGTTTAGTCATTAAAAATATAATAGAAATACAATCAATTCAGTTGGTTCTTGTATCTTGTGTGTATGATTGTATCATTATACTTGTTTGTTTTTAATTTCAGATTAAAGAATAGTGATTTTTTAATGATTAAACCAGAGGGTGTTGAATCGGGGTTGAAATATTGGATGTACTCATTGTCCTAAAAAATGACTTCAAATTTCTAGTACAGCGTAAATAATTCTTGAAGGTTAAAATTAGTTTTTTTTTTTCTTAATGCACTAATAATTTAATCCAATTTTCTAAATCCTGTTAAAAATGAATAAAATTGAATATGAATATTACTAAAATTGATTAGAAGCATTCATAATCAAAATTTAAATTTCAAACCAAATATCAAAGAATAGTAGAATATCAAGACTAATTTTATTATATAGTTTTAAGACTTTTAGAATGATACTTATTTAAAACTTAATTAGGAGAATCATAATATTATTTTAAGAATAAATTAGAAATTTAGGGTTCTAAGAGTAAAGGCACAAATCAATTATGAGAGGATAGAGTTGCAGGTGAATTAGAAATTTAGAATTAAGGTTAAAGTGTGTGAATAAAATGGAAAAATAACTTAGGGAATATGGAGATGTTCTATTTTTATTTTTTAATTAAGTTAATGAAGTTATTATCTTGTAAAATAAGAAAAAGAAAATTTAAAACACTACAAAAATATGTTATATTATTTAATTAAATTATTTTCTAATCGGATTTTATTTTGTAATCGAGCAATTCGGGTGGTTTAAAGGTAAAATCACAAATCAAACCAATTATATCGGTTTTAAAATTTTAGAATTCAAACCAACCCAATTTTATATTGGTTTGGATCAATTTAGGTCGGATCGGATCAATTTAGGTCGGATCAATCAGATTGGATTGAATATGAATACCCCTAGTTCCCAGCATTGAATAAAAGGAAAACAAAGGAAAAAATCAGTCTACACGGCTTGCCCTAAAAAAACTACCCAACGCATATGCTTTTTCAATTTTCAGACTGTTTCTTCCATATTTTAGTATAATTTCCAGATTACAGTGCAAGATTTGTTTTTGTTCATAGTTTTAGTCTAGGTTTTTCCCTTTTTTGTTCGTATTTTCCCTCAAACATTGCAACTTTGGTTAGTTTTTAAGGATTTGGAAACGGATCAGCCTTGAAAACGGGTCTGCTTCATTGATTTGGTTAGTTTTTCTTTCTCTTATAGATTCATCTTTGTTATTTCCTTATGTAAATAGGCTGAATGCTTCCTGCTGTCTTTTCTTTGTTTTTTTGCAACTGCCAAGCTTATAACTTATTTAATTTCAATTTCTAGATTAATATTTAATTTTACAAGTTTCCAAGCTTTGATCAATTGTAGATTCCCTTTTAGTTTTTAGCTATCAAGTAGTTCAATTGTTGTTATTTTAAATCTGTGAGTAATTAGTTTAATTGTTATGGATTGTGAAGTTAAAATCAGTGTAATCCTACATAGTCTGTTGTCTTTATTTCTGTGGCATGTTATTTTCTTTTATTTATTTTGTGTTAGGTTAATTGCCTACGGATATTGCATTTAATTTAAGATTTGTAGTTTTTTTTTTTTTGTTACACTTTAGTGGTTGCAAAGTCTTTGAGATGTCCGAGGCACCCTTTGTTTTGCAACGTCGTTTAAGGCGCAATTTATTTTACAGACATTTTTTTTAAGCATCCTTTTGAAGGTTGACCCTTGGAAAGGAGAAGGGTTGTCTGAAAAATCATGTTTTTTTTTTTTTTTTAA